AATCAGTCGACTGATTTGGTGCTATTCTGCTTATGGTGATCTTCTACTCACGTTTGGTTGTAAACACGAAGGACGGGACCGCACGTTGATGTACATGTGTGGCCATGGTAGTTTACACGTTTGATTTAGGCACGCACGGATCCTCGGGAGTGCGTGACCATGTGTCGAGCTATCGCGATGTAAGGGCAACAATTTTTGAGTTGCATAGTTAGCGTTAAATGTCTGCATGGATGGTCGAGATAGATTGTGAGATGCACGAGGTTACGATTAACCGCGGGATATCGCGAGTACCTATGCTCCACATCATACCTATTCATGGATATCCGAGTTCGGTTGTGAGCCACATGGGATTGCGATGCACCATAGGATGTTGTGAGTACCGAGACTCCATATTTCTTTTGTTTGAATTATGTTCCGGATTAGGCTGATATATCTATACTCTGTTGGGTGTCCGAGTTAAGTAGTGAGCCGCATGATATTGCGATGAGCCACGGGATATTGTGATCACCTATACTCCACACCATTTTTGATGAAGAGAATTACACAAGATTGTGTATTTACTCCCGTGTCATCTACCATGGGTAGGGTGTAATATTGTGTTCAGATATGCACGAAGTGTCCTTGACAAGGTTTTTCACGGGTTTGTATTTTCTTCGTTCCTATGCCACTTACCCAAGGGTAGTGTGAGATGCTATGCTACGATATATACTAAGTATTTTGGATGAGGTGTTGGTGATGTATTTTCTTTTGTTGATTATTTATTTATAGGATTCTGAGTTGATATTTAGTGATCCATAATTTGAGATACATGGTATATATATGAGGGTTTTCTTATTTGGATTATTCTCTCAACGTACACATCTCGTGTTGTGAGTTTCTAAATCTTAACTCCCCTTAGTACAAGGTAAATGATATTGGTAGATTATGCATAGGGAAAAATGCTTCCAGCCCCCAAATTCGTAACAAGTATGCTTCCCCCTCCCAAGACTTTTTCAACGCTCTAAAAAACCCCAAATTCGTAATAACTGTGCTCTGAGCCCCCAAAACACAAAGGCCAAGAATTTTACACAGGTAAAGACTATAATACCCATTCTCTCTCTCTAATATTATATTCGTAATAACCATACAATCCCTCCTCTCTCCCTCCTCCTTCCCCCACCATTTTGCCCTAGCCCCCTCCGTCCCTTCTGCAACCCTCGTGGCGGCCGAAGCTCCTCTCCGGTCTCACGCCTCGACCCCTCGCCTCCGCTCGCCGAGATCCTCCGTGTCCACCGCTGATCCCAGCGCGGCGTCTGCTCGACCCCTCGGCCTTTGCTCGCCGAGAATATTTCATGAAGCTCAGAACCTCAACCTTAACCTGTCCCTGCAGTCTGGGCCTCGTCCCGAGCACGCACGAGTTTTCTCGTGTAACTATTGCCGACGGACTTTTGTTATATGCATTGGTTGTTAAGGTTTTGGGTTGCTTGTTAAGGTTACGGGTTGCTTGTTAAAGTTACGCGTTGGTTGTTAAGATTAACCGTAACCTTAACAAGTAATCCGTAACCTTAACAACCAACATATAACCTTAACAAGCAACCCAAAACCTTAACAACCAACGCGTATAACTTTAACAACCAACACGTGACCTTAACAACCAACGTATAACCTTAACAAGCAACCTGTAACCTTAACAACCAACACGTAAATCGCTTGGCTTTTGAAAATTCGTAACCTTAACGACCAACGCGTAACCTTAACAAGCAACCCGAAACCTTAACAACCAACGCGTATAACTTTAACAACCAACACGTAACCTTAACAACCAACGTGTAACCTTAACAAGCAATCTGTAACTTTAACAACCAACACATAAATCATTTGGCTTTTGAAAATTTCATTAAAATTAAAAGTGAAATATTATTACAAAATCTGCTCACTCCCACTACCTAAAACAAATGTATGCATCATCGTCTTCTTCCTCTACCCTGTCAACGGTCTCAAAACCATGGCAGTCCACCTCCTCAGTGAGTGTTGAGTGGTAAAATGAAAGTAATCATACATTGCACAGTTTTATGTGGTGCTGTAAGCATGAATTTTCTGAAGGAAAGTGTAGAATTGTTACTACTTTTTATTTTTATAAGTTATGAATTATTATATATTTCCTGCCTTTTTTTTTTTTTATGAAGGTTTTACGAGTTGCTTGTGAAGGTTACGGGTTTGCTTGTTAAGGTTACACGTTGGTTGTGAATGTTACGCGTTGATTGTTAAGGTTACGGGTTGGTTGTTAAGGTTACGGGTTGGTTGTTAAGCTTAATCTTCACAATCAACGCGTAACCTTAACAAGCAAACTGTAACCTTAACAAGCAACACATAACCTTAACAAGCAACCCGTAATCTTAACAACTCGTAACCTTAACAACCATAATCTTATCTGCAAATAGAAAAGATAACTATCATTGGGTACATGTATATTAAACGTGAAGAAAGAAAATACCGTTGATGCAAGAGAGAAGAGGCATTCTTTTTCGAACAGGAAAACTTATTTTGACGGGGGAAAATAAAAAAAGAAAAAGATCCCAAAAAGAAAACATGTGACAGGAAGAAACTCTGTTGCTAGTAAATCTAGATGCATTAGTTTCAGAAGCTACAAAGCAACATCAAGTTCGCACGTGTCATTACGAGATCAATTCAATCATTAGCCATCTCTCTGCTCCTCTTCGCTAGGTTGCGCTCCAGCTTGTGTGCATTCTGGTGTCGTCCAAGAGCTTGGGTGGTGTAAAAAGTCCGTCTGCAATAGTTACACGAGAAAACTCGTGCGTGCTCGGGACGAGGCCCAGGCTGCAGGGACAGGTTAAGGTTGAGGTTCTGAGCTTCATGAAATATTCTCGGCGAGCAAAGGCCGAGGGGTCGAGCGAGGGGTCGAGCCGAGGCGTGAGACCGGAGAGGAGCTTCGGCCGCCACGAGGGTTGCAGAAGGGACGGAGGGGGCTAGGGCAAAAATGGTGGGGGAAGGAGGAGGGAGAGAGGAGGGATTATATGGTTATTACGAATATAATATTAGAGAGAGAACGGGTATTATAGTCTTTACCTGTGTAAAATTCTTGGGCTTTGTGTTTTGGGGGCTCAGAGCACAGTTATTACGAATTTGGGGGTTTTTAGAGCGTTGAAAAAGTCTTGGGAGGGGGAAGCATATTTGTTACGAAATTTGGGGGTTTTTAGAGCGTTGAAAAAGTCTTGGGAGGGGGAAGCATATTTGTTACGAATTTGGGGGTTGGAAGCATTTTTCCCTTATGCATATTATAAGTAGAGCCTCCATTATATGCGTTAGCCCTTTCCCTGGGGGCTGGCGAAGATGTTCTTGCTAGCGCTTTGACGTTGTTGTTTTCACCTCTTTTCAGGTAACCGGTCAGAGTTTCGGAGAGTCGTAGGTTGACGGGAATTCAACGTAGTCACTGTCATTCATAGGTAGCTAATTGGTGCTCCACAATGGACTATTTATGGTTTTAGTTTTTTCAGAGATGCATTTCATTTTGTTGGCTGAGTGTCATTGTACTTTTCAGTTGACTCTTATGTATTAGAGATTCGATGTTCTTATTCCAATTTATCAGATGTAGTTTCTTTTCTTCTGTTAGAACATAATTATAGTTATTATTGGATATCTTTTCTCTATATTGTGTTCCTTGTATTGTCACATTTGATATATCTGCTTGTACCCTCACTTCTTATTTTTGACAACTGCTAAAGTGATATTAATGTGATGGTGAACATGTTTATGCGCAGTGTTTAGTGCATGGCAGGTTTGACATCTTTAGGTTCATCTTGAACTGCAGCTTTGTGTGAAACTAGGGCGTGGCAGCACACTACCTTTGGTTAACCCAACTACAGTTTGAGGGGGGTGTTAAATATTTCATAGATAGTCTCTTTCGTTTAGTCCCACATCGGGTAGAGTAATAGAACAACGCTACTCACATTGTATATATAGACCATAATACCAACGAATACAAATATCCTTTTTCTCTTGATTTGCTCTGTTTCTAACAGTTATAGCTATTAGACGAAAATTAATGTTGCTGAAGAATTCATAAAGCTCACCCCATTAACAAAGCCAGATAGGTACAATCTTGCACAATAAACTTAGATATGTCATGCTTTTGAAGCATAAATACATGCAAAACTTTAGCTCTACCAATGAAGAGTGTACTTGGCAAATCAAAATGTACTCTAATAAATGACCAGGTTTTGATTTTCATTACTGAATTCTGGTGGCACACAGAAGCAATGAACGGTAGTGGTAGAGAAGATTAGCTTGAAAATCAAGAAGCCAGGTTGTATAAGCTTCTCATGGTTAATAGGAACTAGAGTTGGAACCAAACTAATCACTAAAAAGAGTTGGCTGTAATATAACTTTCTTATTCAAGCTGACCTTGTTTCTTTAAGTTGTACTTTATATTAAAGAAGCAAGGGAAAGAAGTTATCTATTGATTTGCTGGCTCAACGAATGTATAGAATATATACCAGTGCGCCTAAGGAGTTCAGAATCATGGATAAGGTAACAGTCTCTTACAAAATTCTTGAATAGGATTTTTAATTTTTTTTTTTTTTTTTTTGGGATATGAGAGTTCATTGTGCACCATACCATGACCTGTAGTGTATGAACTCCTGTCTGAAGCTTACAGTATATAGTTAATGAAACCTTCCTCAAGTTATAATGAGCTCCTTTGTTGGCATTGATAATATTTAGAACAAGACACAACAGCAACAACGATGACAATAAATATGATTATATCTTTATAGGCCCATCTGCTATGTTGAATATAGTAGTTTTATGTTCTAGAGGTTCGTGGATAGGAATTCAATATTTATACAATCCGAATCTGTGAGACATTTCTAACCTACTTTTTTCTTCTTTTAAAAAGCAAGATTTTATTAACAATGATTAAACTTCGAAAGGCATCTTGACAATTGCATGGACAAATATTTGGGTGTTACGCAGAAATATCAGGATAAATATTAGATTCTAGCTTCAGAATGACACAATTGCTACTGACATAACATGTGCACAAGAAATGCACTCAATTCGTTTGCATTACATAGAAATTTCACGTAAAGTTTCGTGGTTTTAACTTACAACTTAAAGAACAAGACCTTACCGCGATGAAGAAATACTCCCAAGCAGATTTAAGTTGGAACAACATCGTAAAAAACCTCGTCACTGTCAAGCCTCATAGCTGACAAAAGCATGCCAAGAAAAATAAACAAAAGCCCCAAGAAAAAACAAACAGCAGCTTTCCCATGACGAGTCTTCTTCTTAATCTCCTTTTGAACTTGAGCCTTTACTTCACATCCTTCAAGAACTTCAGTAGCACTACCTTGAGGGAGATCATTACTGGATGAGACAGACTCAGTGCTATCATTTGCTTCTCCATCTTCCACTGGAGTTATTTTCTTGTCTTTATTTCTTTCATCCTCAACATTGTTTGGATTCCTTTTCACTTCATATGAAGTTGGTTTCATTTTTATTTCAATATCTTGCTTCTGAGAGCAAGGGGAATTGCAGCCAGTGGAATTCTGAAGAGACCTGACAAGTTTCCTTGGGGTTTCGAAAATCTTTATATCATCAATTGTAAGTTGTGTGCGTGACCTCTGCATCATGAACGCAATTTAGTAAATTTAGACTTAGTTTTTTTGGGTTATTTGCACTTAAAAATCACAAAGTTTACTCCGTTTTCAACTCGACACCCCAAGTTCTTTTTGGCACAAAAAATACCCCAAAGTTTAGCTCAGTTTATCTTTGATACCCCAAAATTCTATTTACCCGAAACATACCCCAAAGTTCAACACAATTTAACTTGTGATACCCTAAAGTTTTAAGGAAAATTTCAATTTAACCAAACTTTAACCCAAAAAAATAAAGTTTGAGGTATTAAATTTAATTTTTGTTGAACTTTTGAGGTAACTTTAGGCAAAATGAAGGATCAAAGTTAAAATTTGTTGAATTTTGGGATATTTTTGGGGCAAATTAAAACTTTGGGGTATTGCAGTTTGTAAACTTTGGGGCATTCATGCACAAATAACCCTTAGTTTTTTATTAGACTTTCTTAATTAACAAATATAATGGAATTAATCTAATATTACACACCTGAGGACTAGGAGTATTTTCTCGTGATGATCTGCTTGTTGGTCGAGCGTGCACAAATCCTGAGAATGACTCCAAATATACTTTATCTGTGTTCAGCTCACCGTTGAAATCTGAATCCTCACAAGCTGAGCAAGCTTTGAGGAACAATCCATCCTTCAAGGAAACATCGACACCCCCTAAATCATTATTCCAAAGTCTTCTATTAGCTCGTTTACTGCACTCCAAATTACAGGAAGATTGCGCAGTTGACAATGGTGAGTCAGTAAAAGCATCATATGTGATACAGGAATCAACAGTTTGTGACTCAGGAGAAGCAAATTCAGTCACATTATTATCTCTTCTACCCCTTGGGCTCTTGCTATTTCTGATGTAGAAGTGGGAGCAAGAGATTGGGCTCGAGGAGATTTCATGCTTGGGTCCTCTCTGTGAAGTTATAAATTTGGCAGTCTGCAAGGCCTCAAAGGCTGCTCCTCTAACATAAGGCATATGATCAGCTTGACACTTCTCCATGATATCAATTACTTTAGCCAATTCTGACAAGATGCTTCTAGAATCAACACACTTCATCAAAAAATTGATCATTTGAATGGCCGAGAACCGCTTTTGAGAATTGTTCTCTGAGACGCCAGCATCCAGAATTTGCAAGCCAGACCTTATGAGAGACCTTGCATAAGCCTCAACTGTAAAAACATTGTGCTTTGCCAAAGCCATTACAACTCCCATGTGAGAATTAGTCTGTGTTGCTTTCTCCTCTAAAGCCCCTGCAACTTTTAAGCAGACCTCATTTATGATATCATCTGAAGCAAATTTCCAATTGTTCGACTCTATGAGAGCCTTGAGACACAGGGCAGATCCTGAGGCAAGACTCTCTTGGGAGCCCATTAAGACATCTGAAAGAGGCTTGCAAAGGGAAGCAATTATCCTCGCCTTCTCAATATCAGGGGTAGAAGGGTCAATTCCATATCTGGCCATGGCAGGGACTACTTTAGAGCAAGCTTGATGAATAGGGAAGGATCCTGCGCTCGAAGATAAGGTTCGAACAATGGTGGTCATGATGTTGTCGATCTGTGGTACAATATTGCGGCCATGAACTCTAGCCAAGACCTCGTATAATGAGATAGTGCACTCTCCTGAGGATGAGTTGGGCCCCTTTGTTTCTGAAACTTGGGCGAGAAACAGGGGTATGGCCTTGGAGTCCAAATCTTTCGCATAAGACTTCAGGGTTTTCATGGCTGATCTTCGGCTTTCAGCATCTTTATCAAGATTTTCTAGTTCTCTCTGGACGATCGGGCTAAGACTTCTACCCATGGAGGAACCTCAAGAGAGAAGGCTGCAAAAGGGTAAACACTATGGTATCAGCCAAAATTATTGAGATTATGACACATCCCTTACCAGTGTTTTAAGCTGACAAAAAAGAATGCAATAAGCGACCAAGTTATAGAGATAACGTTGGACTAAAGGAAAAAAATATATTAAAAAGCTGGCGGTAGGATTATCTTTCAAGAATTACACTCACGATGAGCAAGAGAACTAATCCGTATCATGTTAGACTTTTTCTCCCCCTCTAAAATAGAATGGTATGTGAGAAGCTGGAGCAAAATGCTTTCAAACACAAACTTTTAATTATCAATCAGCCGGCTTATTTCTTTCCTTGCGTCATCTCCAATCTTCAATACAAATGTTAATGCTCGTGAGAATCAACAAAACAGGACCAACGATCTAATGGGCATCGCTCAAATTTCACTGGAAATGCTGGAATTACGCGAAAAGAAGGTAAAATTCACGTCCTTTAAAAAAGAACCCGGGAAAAGACAACTTCTTCAGAGTTTGAAGAACTTGTTCTTGGAAAAATAACAATAAAGAACAGATCTTTCAGCGACCCAGAATCTCCTATGAAGCAACGCATGTGGGCATTGGTCGCCATCAAACAACCCTGTTTTCGACTAACAAAAGGATTTTTTTTTTTTTTAACAAAACGCTTACAAAAATTTGCCCTTTCAGCATCTTATCAGCTCAGATCTCGGATACAGATAGAAATACAACAAAATTGACAACTGGAAACTAGCTTATAATACATTCATCGTCAAATGTTCAAAAAAAAAAAAAAAAATTGATAGTACGAACCCTTGATGGACTGAAAAGCTCAGATCTCCGTTCTTGTCAACTAAAAAATTTCCTGCGGATCTTGAAAATGGAGGAGCTTTGAGCAGCTGGAAGATTTTGGTAGGGTTTTAAAAAGGATAAGGTATTTGCTATTTTAGAGGCAAAAATAAATCTCAGACCAATCTCCAAGGACCAGAGAGGAAACCGAGGGTACCTTTTAAATTTGAATTCTTTTCACAAAATGACCCCGCTGTCCTCTCTCGAAAAAAATTGGGCTTCTTCACACATTACTTCAGCAACTCTTTTTCTTTTCAGGATAGGTCCTTAACTACATTTTCTGTGTTTTGTTTTATGAAATGGCTAAATTATCAAATTGATATTTTTACTAGACCCTCTTTTCCAATTTAGTCTTTTTAAAAATTTTGGAGATAACAATGTATTTAATATGGATCTTTGTGTCAATAAAACCCGTTATCGTTGCCACCAGTGAAAAAAGGCACGCGATGGGTCACTTGGAGGTCATGTGATGAAATTATAATGTAATAAGCTGGTGATGTGACAGTTATAATTGACATATTTCTTTTGAAGATGGGTTTTTTAACTAACCCTAAAAACCTAAAATAGCCACGTACCCCCAGTTGCAAAAACCTCATCAACATTAAAATGAATCAAATTTCATCATATATAACCTCCACGTGATCCTTCACGTCCGTTTTTTAGCCAACGATGACATTAATGGGCCTTATTGACTCAAAAGTCCGTATTAAATAACTTGTTGTCCTTGGAGTTATTAAAAATACCAAAGTGGCAACGAGGGTCAAATAAAAATATCAATTAGGTATTTTAGCCTTTTTGAAATATTTAAACTCTGGTAGAATGTACATGACTTCTTAAAAAATAACCGCATGAGATAACTTTATTTTACTCTCTGCTAGGGTTAGAATAGACCGTCAATGAGAAATGAAGAAACCCTCGTAAGATAAGTTGTCATTTGTTGACATCCAAAGACTTTGCTAGTAGCCTAGTAGCTGATATTTACTTGGGAAAGTAATTAACTTCAGTAGGTAAACAGGTCACTGACAGCAAAAGTTCATAGTTTAATCAAACACTTGCACAGTTGCACAACGGCTGAAGACAGGCTTAAATTTATACTAGCTTTACTTCTTCAGAACTGGCTAAATTCATATTCATAGAGTCATAGTTTAAATTAAAGAAATCCATTAGAATTCGAAGTACTTAACTCACTTATTCAATTGATTAATGATGCTTTCGTTCAAGTTTAACGAAGTATAAGAAACCTGCAAGATTGAACCTGAAGTCACAAAAGCTCTTAACAACATATCAAAATATACAATCAACTTAAAGAACAGATATAAATTCAGTCGACGAGGATTTTCTAATTTTACAGGATATTCAACTTGTTATACATTAGCAGTAAGAATTCCATCTGCTGAAATTGTTAAGCATTACAAAGAGATTCTTGCGGTTGCCGGTGCAAGTAATTTGATGAACACAGGGCCCAGCCATTTCCCAGAGTCTCCTATTAGCAAAGTGCCCATGACTGGTTTGATGGTAACCCTGATTTGGCTCAATTTATTGCTGTTGCCTGCAAGTTGGACAGAACCACTTGCCTTTGAATCTCGTCTCTGGGGTGAGCCCGACACATGAATAGTGGAACCATTCCCCTCCTTCACACTGTCGACCATTAATTTATAAGTTATGTCAATCCAAAAGGTATTAAATTCCCTAAATTGGAAGCATTAAATGAAGATAGATGCAATAAAATTCTCTACTATGCAATATGGAGCTAAGGATGGAAAATGAATCTTTGTAACTGCAGCTGAACCTACAGCTAGGGAGAATAATAAAGATTCAAAGCATTTCTTGGCATTTCTTTATTTGCGATAATATAGTGTTAAAGATCTGGTAGAGTTTAAGAAGATTTGTGTCTACTCCAGGTTAGTGTTTGAGGGAAGAAAATTCTGGAAGGTAAAAATATCTAGGAGAGCCGACTAGCACTGTATTTAACAAGATTGAACCAACTCATATAAGAAGTGATCATATAACTTAAGAGTATCACACAAGCCATATGAACAAGCAGTGAGCAAGTCGCTGTGAGAATAGTATGAAGTGTTATAAATCCATAAAGAGTATTAGAGTGAATCACATTCAATCAAGGTATTAAACTTCTCATCAGAGAGAAAAGTGAGACAAGTTTACTGTAGGTTTCTGAATAAGCCAATCTCACTACAGCGGTTTTGATCGGAGAAACTCTGGTCTGTGCTATGAAAGTGCTATAAAAAAAGTAAGGGGTAACATACAGAAAATCTAGGTGCAAATGGTGTAAGTGAAGTTGGAAACACTGGTATAAGAAACGAAAATCAAGATCAGACGTGGATGAGTATGACTTATAAAGCAAAAAATATGTAAATTTTAGTAAAAGAACACTTTCTACAACAAATATTTCTGGAAATTTGCATCAAATGTATATAAAAGATGCAGTTATGCTTTATAACAAGAAAAGTGTATGCTTTGAGGCAAACGGGAAAGGCAAAACTGATGAAAAAGAACAAATAAGAACGAAAAACTCACATTCTCATTGTCACAAGCAATCATGTCCCCAAAAGACACCTGCAAGTAGAGAGAGTTTAAAATTTTCAAGTTAGCTCGCATTGTGGACCCAGGGATTAGAAAAGAAGTATGTGAACATTAGAAATTAAATTGTAAGTTCCAGTGATGACGAACGGACCTGATGGCAAACACAGTATGTTGGTTCATTAGGATCAATAGGTTGATCTACATCAACAGAGACAGGGATAATTTTCTTGTGGCTTTTTGGAGGAGGCATCAGCTCAAGATCCATATCCCTCTCCCTATCCCAATCCCTTTCTCTGAACCTCTTTGGTTGAGGAGTTATATAACCCGATGGTTTCCTTTTCTCCTCCCTGATGATTATAGGCATTGGAGGAAGGATAGCTGGCTCATCTGGAGGTATTTTTCCCTCTATAGAAGTAATATTTTATCCAAGTTAGCTTAAGAACTCCAGCATCGAGAGGAAAATATCTAAGGAAAAGCATTCTGTTGCTGAGAAAACTGAAAAGGTATTATATCAGTAGCTGAAACTAACAGAATAAGTTTTCAGAAAAATTGGATATGTTTCCAGTTAAAATTAAAACACAGGCTATCAAGTTGACTATGGTAGCATTAACTATGCAAATCCAAAATAAATGGATGATGGGTATATGTTCAGGTAATTATGATGTACATGGCCATGACAGTTGAAATAGATTGTGGATTTCATGTATAACATAATAGATAACTGCATACTCCTCGTACTACCTTGCTTTAAATCTTCTGCAAACTGGTTGAGGTCCTCATCGAGCCGCTTCACATGACTTTCTATCTGCATAAAGGAAAGAATGAATATCAATATAATAAGATTCTAAAGTTTTACAAAATAGGGGTTTCAGGTTCAGCATTGAGTTCTTGTACATTCTAATGAATATTATAGGAAAACTGGACCAAGGTCAGTACAGATTGAATGTACTAGTTTTCTTTTACCTAACTTAAAGTGTTATAATGTCGTTGTCCTTGAGTTGTTTGCTTATTATGAATAATTTTGCTCTCCAAAAAGTAAGAATATATAACAACTAACTCAAGGCTTTTATCTTGTTCATCACCAAGGGAGGATGCAGCTTCCAGGTACTCTTCTCAGTTAAGTTAAAGAGATTTTCAGAATCAAGTACTCTTCGAGGTAGTTTATCCCAAGTTTTCAGGATGGGCTATATGAATCCTACTCTTCCATTGAGTTCTAATATAAATCATATCTTCCGCTAAGTTAATTGACATATCCTTCTCAAGGACTTCCAACAAAATCCTATCGCTAGATCATATTTCCTCACTACAGCATTTAGTAGCCTCCGTTGTACACGATCAAACCATCTCAGTTGATTATGTCTCATTCTAATATCAACAGAAGCAACTCTAACTTCTTAGGAATGTAATCATTTCTCATCCTTTCACTCCCAATTTTCATGTTTTTTAATTGGCCAACATTCTTATCCATAAAACATTTATAGTTGTCCAATAAAATTTCCCTTCAATCTCATAGAGGCCTTCTAAGGTCCCATAAGGCTCCATAAGCATTTCTCCATTTTAACCAACCTGATTTGATAGGGTGATTCATATCATCAAAAAGCTAAAAGCACAAAAAATGCTACATTTATTTAGGTGGTGTAATCAAAATTACATTTACTGTGGCTTCATAACGGTTACAGATCTCAGGAGTCAGGACCTTGAAGATTTAGTAAGGATACTACTCTACCTGAGGAACTAAAGATGATGAGATGATGGGAACCTCAGTCAGAACGATGAAAATAAATGGCAAAATATCTCTACATACCAGTGTGAGATGTTAAACTTGCTTCATCAACCACCGCTCAACTATGTTTGGAATGAAAAACAGTCAAATTGTAGTCAACATCAATGAATTGCTCCAAACAAGAATTTACTAATCAAATATTAGCCTCAGAGGAACCTATTGGTTTTAACAACATGCCATCAAATCAATAAGCAGATGTCCCTAGACTACAACAACAACAAAAAAATACTTTTATCAGTCTCACATCTTAATGATGTTACACTAAGTACCAGTTTTCATTCAATAAAAAAGTATCTATTACCAGCACAGAATATCTTCAACATAATCATTCACAAATACATATAAAATGCTCTTTAGACATCAAAGAGGAATGTGACAATGCACCATCACCACCCCATTAGGCATGGTTCTTAAAGAGCTTGACCTAAGTGAAATAGAATGTTGCGTGAATAGAACATCATAATATTGCTGGTAGAACAGGATGAACAACTATAAAATTTAATCTCATGGAAAAGATTTATAACTCATACCATTTTAAGAAATCAGTTATAAGAAATAGTGATACACAAGCATAAAGGAGTACTTACAAGATCATAAGCTTGCCGAGCAAGAAGAACCTTCTCAGTGCAAAGACTCAATGCACTATCCTGGTTAGCTTCAATTTCCTTTTTAATCTTCTCAAATGCCTCCTCGTCATCTTCAAGGATAGCTTTCTTTGAGTTATGATAAGGTATCCCCAAACAGTACTTTGTTTGATCTCTTGTCTGGTTGATTAATCCTGAGTTAGAAGTTAATAAATAAATAAATAACTACTAACAAAGGAAACTAAGCTTTAATGAGAATCAGGATAAATTGCATTCATATTCATGTAGGGTCAGTTGCTTCAGCCTATCGACATGATAGGATTAGAGTGTTAACTGATTGATGAATTATGCGCGCTAATCATAGAAGTTGGGAACTTGGGACGCTATAGTGAACCACATCCCGGATTCAATCGTCCCTGATTCGCATGGAACACGACCCGATTCACCAACTCCAGCAACCCGATTTAGAATTCAAACCAATTAAAATTTTAGGGGAAAAACTCTTTTTAAAAGCATAAACAACAAAATCTGCGAGAAATTAAGCACATAAAGTATGCATACCTTATTGCAACAAGCTTCTTAAGGTTTTTTTTTACCGTTACTGATATCAACTAGCATATTTTTTTAATTTTACTCTTGCAAAACCTCAACTTCCTACATTTAAGAATCAAACCTAAAGCATACCATGTACCCTAGCAGACCGTATAAACCTACCCCCCTCGTACCCGATTCCTAATAAGCGGTGTACCACGCACTCGTACCCGTCCCGTGAACCGGAACGAACCAGGTTCCATGCAACTACGGCGCTGATTATAGTAAATAAACTAAATCCTCCTAATATGAAAAATATACAGCGGGTAGGGTCAATTGGTTCAGCCTATTGACATGAGATAGGATTAGAGTGTTAACTGATTGAGGAATTATGCATGATGATTATAGTAAATAAACAAAATACTCCTAACATGAAAAATGCACAGGATACAATTTTTCTTCCCATTGCCAACTTAAAAAGACCTTGAGCTTGAGGAGAAAATGTTCATAAGAAAAGTAGGTGATTTGTAGTGAGGATGTTATGTCTTGTGTTCATGCAATATGCTAGAGTTGATTGGTTAAGGGAATCATGATGCGAAATACTTGCACATAAAGAAGGCATACTTAAGAGAGTTCACGTTCTTTCACAGTTTTCCATAGTCTTTTACACTCCTACAACTCACAGCTACTGTGAGAGGATTCTCACTTCAACAAAACTAACATACAGACAGTGAAACCAAAAGACCAATCGATTTTACTAGCTAAATTTCACATTAATTTAGACTTTACATAAACATTAATTGCATTAAATATATTTATATTCAAGAAAACAATAATATTACCAATTAAAGGAAATTCATCACCTGGGTATTCTAAGTTAAAATCTTTTGTTACTCAATGTGAAGCTAAAGTGGGGCAACTTGGGAACAATGAGAACATACCAAGAGCTCTCTCATCAAGCTCTCTCATGGTGGTGAGATGCCTCTGGAGCTCTGCTGCCAAAGTGCTAGAATCTTCGAACCTCAAATGAAAATAAATCAATAAAAAATAAGAAAAAAAATCGAAAAAATATACAAAATAGAGAAATTGATAAGGAATTGGGATTGTACACTCCAAATAATCGTCAACGAAAACTCCAGTCCTCGCAATCGCCATGCCTCGTTGTTAGGGTTTCTTCTTCCTTCCGAAAAATGAGGGATTTTAGAGACGAGGACAATTTTGGAACGTGAAACGTTCAGAACGGGTAAGTAACTGCAAATATTACCCGTCAGTGAGAAACCCGATAAGCCGTTACTCCGATCTAAAAGTACTCTCCTCGGTAAAAAAAAATTTATTTTTATTTTAAGAACAAATTTAGTAAGAGTAAATCATTCAATAAATTATAAAAAAAATATTAAGTAAATAAAGTAAGAGAATTTTTTAGCCAAATATTTGGATAGAGAATATTCCTTAGAATTATATGCTAAAAATCGTTAACAATAGGCAATAATTTAGAAAACATATAAAAGTGAATAATACTTCTTTAGTCGAAAAATGCATGGGACCAGCCAAGATAAATGGCTACTGTTATAGCCAAAAATTATCACGTTCTTCAACTGGCCGCTGGCTAGCTCAGTAGGACAAAACAGATGGCTAACATGCCCAAGCCAAGCTTAAGCTATAACTAGCCGACTCATCCTTCAAGACGAGAACCTCAAATGAGCCCGGATTGTGTCGAAGGACGTCTTCGGGTTGAGTTCGGTAAGGAAGAAGTCCAAAACAAAGAACAACCAATGGTCTTGTCATTAGTTGTGACGCATCTGTTTGCACACATGGCTATAGTTCTAGGTGGACTCGGAGATGTCAAACTTATCATGCACTCACACTATGCAACAATACGTTTCATCATCACAGTAATATCTCTCTAATAGAATCAAACACAAGTGTAGGTACAAAATAGGTAAAATAAGGGAATTAAATACAATAGACATGATGTAGAAAGAGATATCTAATATATATAATTATGTCTCAACTGAAAAATTTGAATACAACTGAAGTCTGAAATAAATGTGAAGTATTTTAATATGAGTCAACTGAGAAAAAAAACTAAGACACACAGCCTTTACAAGATGAAATACAAAAACTCTAAATGTCCGAAAGAAAATATCAAGTATGGTGGAGTTTCATCTACTAAAAATATGTGACGGCGACAATGCTGGAAGTCCACCATCCTGCGGCTCTCTGGAACCTGAGCTACTGCCTGAAAGGAATTGAAAAATAAAAAGAGAAACAACAAGAGCGTCAGGAGCGCTACAACAAGATCATCTTCATCCGCCATGCACCAAGGGAAGGGCCACTAGATGTGATGAAGGCTCTATCTATTAAGTATAGTCTACCTAGATTATTTATCATGTATCTAAAAAGAATTAATATTTAGAAACCTACAACACGAGACGTAGTACATCGAGCGAAATAATCCAAACAAGAAAATCCTCATGTATATACCATATGTCTCAAATTGTAGGTAACTAAATATCAATACCCGACTAAGAATAAACAATCTAAAATAGAATCAATAATTAGAAACTCACAATATGAGACTAGTACGTCGAGCGAAATAATCCAAACAAGGAAACATTCATGTATATATCATATGTCTTAAATTGTGAATCGCTAATTATCAATTCCAAACTAGGAATAAAGAAAAACAATACATACAAGGAAGTAAAGTCATCACAATATCGGACCAAAATTATCTTCCATTATCCCTTGGAAGATAATATAAACAACAACATATAATCACGCGTACTTACAAGAGTAAAGTACGTCGGTCATATATAACTCAGCGATGAGTCATGTTCATAAATAACGTCCACCAAAACTCAGGCTATCATATAATTATCACAATGCAAATCATTGCCAAGTTTATAATTCATCGTACTATCATACGGAACGGACTACTAAATTGGCATCCTAATAGTGTACACGGCACATTAGTCTCATCGCATCAACGTGCGGGACGGACTACCAAATCAGGCATCATAGGTATACAGCTCACAAGCCTCATCGTATCGTGCAGGACGGACTACTAGATCAAGCATCCTAAAACGCGACTCAATGACATGTACTAATGGTATATCGACACACTATCCCAAGTAGTACTGAGCAGTGCTCATCGACAATATTCATACAAGTATATAATGTTTAAATAACTTATATCTCCCGTGTAATCGAAATAATAATTGTATTAATCCTTTTCGGGATACCCATGCGTGTGCTACGACACTATGTATGTATACTCATGATTGTACGTGTATCATCGTGCACCTCGAACCCCGCGTTAGAAAACAAAAGGTGTAAAAAACAATACTTCAAACAAAAGAGAACACGGATCGGTCGACCGCCCCTAGGGCGTCGGTCAACCGAATGCAAATGTACACAAAGTGCACTCACAGGATCTCACCGATCTGCCGGCTAGCCTTGGTCGGTCGACTGGCCAGAGAAGATCTTCACAGATCAGGCTTTGGCATTTGTATTTTTGTAACTTTGTTCAAAAAACTTAACTTTATTAACATGAGGCATATAGCAAGATTTAAACTTTAATATTTGTTTAAAATGGATTAACTCAACATGATTTTAAACCCATGAATTAATCTAGTTAGGGTTTAGCATCTCAATTAACCAAAAATTCTCAAATAAAACATAAATTATCAACATGATTAACTAAACAAGAGAACTAATCATTGAATAGATATAAAATAATTTAAACACGTTTACGTCACTTATGTATCACAAACCTAGGGTTTATACATCTTAAATTAACAAGAAAACTCAATTAATTGTTAAACTAGGGTTTAAACATGATTTAAGCATGATTAATAAATTAAAAAAATAAAAGCAACCATAATGATTATGATTATCAACTAATATAAATAGCAACGAAATCTATAGATTTTACATTGGTTTAAAGATTAACATCATAAACTAAGATTTTTAAAACATCGGGTTAAGCTTTAACATGATATTCATCAATTAAACATCTTAAATCATGAATTAACTATAGGAATATGTTTGGAGAAAGTTGATCTTGCCTCAAACATCGTGTTGAACTCCTGAACACGTGTGTGCAAGATCCCTCTTCACCAAAGTCGCAAAATCCTGCCTTTCTCTCAACAAACGCCTCAAGAACTCTCCCAAATCTCACAAATTATGATTAGAGTTTGATAGAGAGGAAGAGGGTCTACTAAGATTTGAAATACTGATGAAAAGATGTATTTTTTGTGTGTAAATATGTATATATATAACTGCAAACCCGAAACAAAACAGCCCAAACCTAAAACAGGAAACCCAGTCAGACTGGGAAAATAGCCTTCGGTATTGTAGCTATAACTTTCACGTCCGACCTCAGAATGAACTGATTTAAGATGCGTTGGAAATATATTAAAGATACCTACAAATTTTGACTTTTGAGGTTTTCCATATTTGAACTGTATTAGTGTGTAATGCAGGTATACTCTTTACTGGTCATTTTTTCAGATTTCTTCTTTGTGCATGTTTAACTTTTGTATACTCTCATATATACTCTTAATAGGTCTTAAATCAATTGTTAGCATAATTATTCATTCATAAATGTTATTCATCATAATTAGAGCTTATTTATTAATATAATTCACATTATTTTCTAAAGATCACAGGGTTTTACATTAGTGTTCGCATTTAATGCTAAATTGTTTAGCACCCATACTTTTACACCTAGTCGCCATCACATTTAAGGCATAACTAGGCACCATAATGACTCCTCGGACAGCACCTGCACTCCTGCCATTCTACCACCATCACATTAAATGAGATAGGTACAATCCTCCACCTCTGACCATTCAGCTGTGAACAATTATAAAGCAACAACACAACGTCAGATGAACTAGCAAGTCAAATTACAAAAATTTCCTCACAAACTTCCTATAAATAGTATCATCTTTGCTATTCTAAGGGATGCAAGTTTTACACCCAAGAATCCTAAAATAATACTACATTCTGCTTTTCTCTTCAGATTAACAGACTAGTCACTGACTTGAGCATCGGAGGGCTCCCAAGAGTAAACAACCTTCGGGACCTATAACCTCTGTTATTCTGTGTAGGGAGTCATAGTCCAACACACCTTTCAAGACAATCAGACATCAAAGGAGATTAAGGGACCCCAAAATCATCATTAGCTCTTCTATATCATATGTTAATTTTCCTCATATCAATAGTTTGGAGCCCATAGTGGGGCCACATTCTCTTCTCGTGTGATAATGGCTGATCCTAGTCACCCTCATAATTTAAAGTTTTCTCGGGGGAAATCTTCCAGTTCATGCTATGTCACCTAAGCCTAGTTGGATGAAACCTCGCAGAGGATATCACTATCACTCTAACAACAATTTGCCTCCTTCACAAATGAAGTGCTCAGTTGCTTCCAGCCCCTTTCTCCATTGCCTATCACCTTGTTTCAGAGGGACAACTCTGACAACATGAAGAGGAAGATCGGGTCAGGGAGATGATCCCTTAAACACCGCGACATCAAACCCACTTCGTAGTTAATCTACAACAAATTTCCCAATATCAGGATGTGCCATGCAAAAGCTCGAGCCAAGATCCTATCCATGTTCCATGGCATCTATAGCAAAGTATACGATGCACCTATGCGATCCAAACTCTAATCAACAGGGGTCAAACCTTTGATGGCCAATAGAACCTCCGGATATGATCGGACCTGTTTGATGGAAAATTTGCAGTAAAAGAAACGAAGGAAAATTAATTTGTATTCCTTTAATCTCAGTTACAATTGGATTTCCTGATTACAAAAGAGAAGAGAATGATCTGGATTCTCCCCTTTGTTTAAATCTGGGTTCTTCACGGTGGCGATGAGATGCCTCCCTCGAATGCTCGCGTCGAGTTTGCTTCTCGTTGACGATCCGATGTCTTGTTTCACTGGAACGTGGTCTTCTCCTCACGATTTGACGTTGTGGAGAACTCTGAACGAGTTTGAAACTCTATGAAAGAGTTGATTTAACCGAAAGTCGGTTATAAGCCAAGGATGAAGAAGATCTTGTTGCCGATCTCCAAAGCTCCAGAAATGCTCTAAGGATCCTGTTGACGAGCCAAGAAGTTCCAACCGACCGTACCCTGAACTGAATTGATTTTTAGTTATTTATAGGGGATTAAGGGGTGTAACCACCTCCTTAATTCGCTCCTAAGTGGGGCTAATGGGATG